AGTTTTACCTTTTTTTTAAATGGCAACCCAGCTATCCTAATACTTCTTATTAAAAAGTAGATTTTTTTCATATTGATTTGAGATAGTACCATCATCAATCACTTAATGAATTTTTATATGCAGTGGGTCTATAACTGCTTTTTCTATTTTGTTCATTGAATCAAAAGATAAAGATAACCTACAACCATCTTGTATATGGATAAATATGCTCTAGGTATACAAATTCATACAATTTTTCTGAAATGAGTTTGAATATAAACCACTGATTTGTTAAACAACTTTATATTCTTACTGGAGGCCCAGTGCATGAAATTTGTGCACGGGTAGGTCCCTAGGCCTGGCCGGGATCAGGGCCAATCAGGGCCTTCTGACTGCCAGACGGGGCCTTCCTTTCCCGGCTGCCAGCTGGGGCCTTGTTTTGTTCCGCGCCACCCCCTGGTGGTCAGCGAACGTCATAGCGAGCTATCGAACTACTGGTCTCCCAGTCAAACTCTCTAGAGGACACTTTGCATATTAGCCTTTTATATATATAGATATTTTTATCCATTAAATATTCATTACTTGCTAAAAATTAAGCTGTGTGCTAGGCATTGAGGATAGATAAGACATTGTCCTTGCCTTTAGAAAGAGTCTAATAGCTGGTTTTAGACACTGGATAAAATATTGATTATATATCCATCCATGTATTCAAATTATTTTTTTTAATCTGTTTATTGTATGATTATCACAAAATTCCTACTGTCATGTAGGTGTCATTTTTTGGAAAGATATTTTTATTTCTAAAAAAATCTTAAAAAATAGCACAAGTATCGTTCCTTCCTCTGCTTTCTAAAGCAGGTTTCTGAATTTTCTTAAATTTTTCCCTTGCTATGTTTTTGTTACTTACTCATCCTCTTAAATTTTGTGTGTGTCATATTTTTTGTTGTTGTTAATTCTCACCCAAGGATATTTTTCCCATTGATTTTTAGAGAGAGTGGATGGGAGGGAGAGAGACAGAGAGAGAAACATCGATGTGAGAGAGACACATCAATTGGTTGCCTACTAGGGATCAAGCCTGCAACCAAGGTACGTGCTTTTGACTAGAACCGAACACGGGACCCTTCAGTCTGCAGGCTCTATCCACTGAACCAAATTGTATGGGGCTGTGTGTGTCATATTTTAAGTTTTTATTAAGTTAGGTTTTTATTGGAAATTCTAGGGGGTTGTGGCACTTTTTTTAGAGCCTAGATTAAGTACTTTTGATTAAGATACTGCTTCTTTGGTCTGCTAATTTAATAAGCATATATCAGTTTGTCAGAGATTTTGTTATATGATCAATAAATGTCAATGAAATGATATTTGATTTGTACTATGCAGAGAAATTAAAATTGTATTTTTATATTTCAGTTTATTGTCAGCAGACTTTGTGCACTTCAGAATTGTTTGAAGACTTAATTTGGTTCTTATCTAATAATGATTCAAACACAAATTTGAAAAGAATGTCTGTCTATGTTATTTTGGTTCTAGTTTCAAATAATAGTAAGTACATTCTTTTATGTTGTAGAAACAGTTTTTAAAAACAATAAGTTGGGATAATTATTATTAATCCTTTTATTCTAGTCCTTACATCAATGTCTTTTGTTCTTACTAACTTATGAGAACTACTAGCTTTAAGAAAAGAGAATTAATAGCATGCATTTAATTGTTTGGTATTTATTAATTTTAACAAATAGTAAAGTGATTTGTATATTTAATTAACATAAAAAAGAAACAGCTTTGAAAGCAAAAGAGAGGCATTTAATGAATTAGTTTGGTTGGTATATCACTAAATTGGCCATTTAGTTAGTGTTTGCTTTCAGTCAGCAATGACCTTAAATTTCATGTAGCTCTTGGCTAAAGTTTTTGTTTTGATTTTCAGTTTTTATTTTGGAATAATTTTAGATTTGCAGAAAAGTTGCAAAGATAGTATAGCATGATCCTGTATACCTACTGCTCAGGCCAAGGTTATTTTTTAACATTGCTTTATTTACATCTTCAAATTGTTAGAAATTTTATAATCATTTAAAATGCTTCTAGATTTTATTTTTTGTACTTTGAATTTTTTAATATTTTGGAGCATCTTATTTTGTAACACATAACCATGCAAAATACATGTTTTGTAATTTTTAGAAGAAATTTGAGTGCTGTTATTCTCTAAGCAGTGGTTCCCAACGCTGCACAGGGGGGTAATTTGATTTTTAAGGGGGGCCATTCAAGAATTAGTTATTAACAGTGAATTTTTTGCATTTCTTATGGTTCTAGGGGCCTCATATACAGTATATAAATATATTGTGTATTGTGACATATTTATGCATTTCAGGTCTCTGTTATATGTTTTGAAACTTTATTTGCTATTTTTTCATATCACTTCATATTATTATTTTTTAGTGATTTCTTCCTCAGTACTTCAGTTGTCCTTTCATTCTTTTATTTTTCTCTTTCATGGATGCCGTGTTCTTTGGAAGCTTGTTTAGACTAAGTTAATGGCCTTTTAGGCTTCCTCCACGTGCAAAGTTCACTTTTTGAATAATAAGAATTATATGTTAAGGGGGGGGCGGGCATCAGGATTTTAGAGATGCTTAGGTGGGGCATGGCCAAAAAAAGGTTGGGAACCACTGCTATAAGCATAAGTAATATATTTCCCATAATCTTGATTAGGTTTTATCTACCGTAATTAAAAGTTATTAAAGTAATTAAAAGTTATTTATTAAAATAGTACTTAAATGTTTTCCATTTCTGCCAAGTTACTTCTAAACAAAGTCATATTCCTGTAATATGTGGCTATTCCTTTAAGGGACTGGACAAACGCTTGTGAGAGAAACAGGTTGTTTTAAAATTCTGTCAGAGTTGTTCAGGTAAGCAAATATAAATTTCTTTTTACTAATTAGTTATTACTTAAGACCTTAACACATTTTTATTAATTTACTTCCTTTTCTTTTTAATCTAATAGGGCAGTCCTTTCAAAATATGAGTTGAATTTGTCAGATAAAAATGTTTTCCAGAATTATCAGTTGTGGTCGTCAGTATGTGGTACTCTGTGTGTCTGTGTCAACAATCCTCAAAATGGTATTTATCTCAAATATATAAAAATAAAGATAAGAACAAATGAAAATTTATATTTTCCAAATATATTAAAATATGATTAACTTTGTCTTCTTTCAGATGAAAATCAAAGGCTTTGCTGTTCACTTTTTCCACATGCTAATGACTGGCTAAGAAATTGTATGATGCCTGAGATAATTCGCCCTCTTTGTTCATTTATTGGACTCACTCTTGCAAATAACAGTAAGTATACATTATTCTATAAGTTATATTTGAAGAAGCTATTTCAAAGTATAATAAAAAACTATTGAATTAGTTATTGTATTAATTGAATTAAAGGATTAATTTTATTCCAGTAAATTGGGTCATTTGGATGCACTTACCAGTGGTTCTCAACCTTCTGGCCCTTTAAATACAGTTCCTCATGTTGTGACCCAACCATAAGATTATTTTCGTTGCTACTTCATAACTGTAATGTTGCTACTGTTATGAATCGTAATGTAAATATGCAAGATGGTCTTAGGCGACCCCTGTGAAAGGGTCGTTCAACTGCCAAAGGGGTCTCGACCCACAGGTTGAGAACTGCTGACTTAGACTATCACAGATAGGAAAATCTTAAAAGTAGATCTATTAGGAAGATATTGGGAAGTATCACATGATCTCACTCATATGTGGACTCTAATGAGCAAAATAAACTGATGAACAAAATAGATCTAGAGACAGAAGCATAGTACAGACTGTAGAACTTCAGGAGGAAGATGAGGGAGGGTGTGTGGGTGTGAAGTGATCAACCAAAAACCTTGCGCGCGCGTGCGTGCGTGCGTGCGTGCGTGTGTGTGTGTGTGTGTGTGTGTGTGTATACTTACTGTATTTTATTTTTTTTGTTAGTCCTCACTCCAGGATATTTTCTCCATTGATATTTAGAGAGAGTGGAGGGGAGGGAGGGAGGGAGGGAAAGAAGGATGGGGGAGAGAGAGAGAGAGAGAGAGAGAGAGAAAGAGAAACATTGATGTAAGAGAGACGCATCAATTGGTTGCCTCTCAGATGTGTCCTTACTGGGCCAGGGATGGAACCTGCAACCCAGGTACACGCCCTTGACTGGGAATCAAACCCTTGACCCTTCAGTGCTTGTGTTGATGCCCTAATCACTAAGCCGTATTTTATTTTTTTTGTTAGTCCTCACTCCAGGATATTTTCTCCATTGATATTTAGAGAGAGTGGAGGGGAGGGAGGGAGGGAGGGAAAGAAGGATGGGGGAGAGAGAGAGAGGGAGAGAGAGAGAGAGAGAGAGAAAGAGAAACATTGATGTGAGGGAGACGCATCAATTGGTTGCCTCTCAGATGTGTCCTTACTGGGCCAGGGATGGAACCTGCAACCCAGGTACACGCCCTTGACTGGGAATCAAACCCTTGACCCTTGAGTGCTTGTGTTGATGCCCTAATCACTAAGCCACACCTCCAAGGGCAACACGGTATTTTTATTTATTTATTTTTCTCCTCCTTTTAAAGAAGTTTATTTTGGGTGAGGAAAGGCAGTCCCCTCCGTAGAAACTCGCAAAGGGTGCCTCCAGGACAGGGTGGGAGCTTGCGTAACAACACGATATTTTTAGATTAAGATCTTTGTTTTTTATGGAACAATATCAAAAGTAATTTTTTTGTTTAAAACATCTTGGCTCAATTTGTGATACTAGGGTAGGCTGGGAAGAAGGTTTATGACAGAATTGTAATAACTAGCCCATATATTCATTTATATAAGCTCGTTGCTGGAATAGGGGTTTCAGAGACTATTGAATGCACAGACTCATGAATACTTTTTTATCAGAATCATTTTCACAAGGGAACAAAAGAATTCAGACTCTTAAAAATGATATCTGTCACTGATTCTTTTCTTGGAACAGTTGTCATGACTCAACATGTTATAATTTTATGCTCCAAGAAATAAAAGAATTAGGCTTAAGTTAGATGGATGAAACGTGTTCTTTTGGAACAGGTAAATTACTTTGCTGTTTGTAGATTAAAGCAATCTGAGAAATGAATTATGTTGGAATTCAGAAAATAAGCAGCTTGCTAATTGGAGTACCAAGCTAGATCAATGAATCTATTCTTTATAGCTCTTTTGCAGAGTTTTAGTTTAATGTCATTTTTGCAAAATATACCAGTTCTCACTAAAAGAAGCAAAAGAGATATCTAACACAAGCAAAAAAAACTATATTGTACATACACCTGTACTATGTCAAAGTGAGTTTCTTACATAAGGAAGTAATTTATGTTATGACTATGTATATGTGTAGGTAAAGATTAGATTTTTCATTCTTTAATTTTGAATTTTTAGTAAGTACACTTGGCCCTGTATGTGTGGGTTTTGCATCTACAAATTCAAGCAACTGCCAATAGAAAATCTATATATATAAAAAGCCAGCAACCCGAATGCCATAACAACCAGAATGACCGGTCGCTATGATGCCCACTGTGGCCAGTGAACTGGCCCCGATCAGGGGGTGGGGCTGGCCGGCCAACCTCCTGCAGCCCCCTCCCCCTGGCCAGCCCCACCCTTGATCGCTCCCCCATACCCCGGCCAACCTCCTACAGCCTCTCCCCCCGCCAGCTCCGCCCCCAAAGGGCCCCCACCACTCCAATTGGCCCACAGCCCCTCCCCCCAGTCAGCTCTGTCCCTGATCAGCACCCCCCACTCTGATCAGAGGCAGGGCCGGCCGGCCAACCACCCATGGTCCTTCCTCCACGCTGCTGGCCTCTGATCAGCTCCCACCACCCCATTTGGGGGCGGGGCCGGCCAGCCACCACCCATAGCCCCTCCCCACAGCTGGACCCACCCCCAATCAGCCCCCACCACCTCGATCAGCCCACAGCCCCTCTCCCCAGCCGTCCCAGCCCTGATCAGGCCCCGATGGGGTGGACCGGCTGGCTAACCTCCCGCCATCTCCTCCTCCCAACAGGCCTGACCCCCATCCGCCCCATTTGGGGCCAGGCCAGCCGGACCCCACCTGTGCATGAATTCATGCACTGGGCCTCTAGTCTACATATATAAAAGCCTAAGCGACTGTCCAACCATTTGACCATTCAACTGGTAGCTATGATGCGCACTGACCACCAGGGGCAGACGCTTCGACCAGTAGGTTAGCTTGCTGCTGGGATCTGGCAGATCAGGACTGGGCGACACCAGGCCTGACATACCCTGGAGCCCTCCCCTGGTCCCTCCCCAGTCCCGATTGTGCACCAGTGGGGTCCCGAATTGCAAGAGGGCACAGAGCAGGCCAAGGGACCCTACTGGTGCATGAATCCGTGCACCAGACCTCTAGTATCTATATAAAAGCCCAGGTACCAAACGGTGGAACGACCAGAACAACTGTCGACTAGTCACTCTGAAGCGCACTGACCACCAGGGGGCAGATGCTCAACACAGGAGCTGCCCCCTGGTGGTCAGTGCGCTCCCACAGTGGGAGAGCCACTCAGCTGACTGGGATGAACAGAGCTCCCACAGCAGGCCAATCCCCACAGGCCATGCCCTTCACCAGTGCACGAATTTGTGCACTGGGCCTCTAGTTCAAAAAATAAAGTTCTATTGTTGCTGATATGTAGTTAGGCATATGATGGTTACGTCTCTACTGAATATGTACAGACTTTTTTCCTTGTCATTATTCTCTAATCAATACAGTATAAAAACTATTTACATAGCATCTACATTGTGTTAGACATCATAAGTAATCTATACGGGAGGATGTGTATGGGTTATATGCAAATACATTTTAAATAAGAGACTTCAGCATTCTAGAATTTTGGTATCTGAGGGTAGGGTGGAAGGGGGCGGAAATAAGTTGGTTCCATTGCTGGAACCAATCCCCTAAGGATACTGAGGGATGTGACTCTATTTCAGTGGTTTTCAACCTTCTGGCCCTTTAAATACAGTTTCTCATGTTGTGACCCAACCATAAAATTATTTTTGTTGCTACTTCATAACTGTCATGTTGCTACTGTTATGAATCGTAATGTAAATATCTGATATGCAGGATGGTCTTAGGCGACCCCTGTGAAAGGGTTGTTCGACTGCCAAAGGGGTTGCGACCCACAGGTTGAGAACCACTGCTCTATTTGAAAAAGTCAAGTCAATGTTACATTTAGTGCAGATTATGAATGAAACCATACAATTGTTTTGTTTGGGGTGTTAATCGTTCTACTTTATTCCTTAAGCACATGTTCAGAAATACTTTATATCTGTGGGTGGACTGGATGTATTGTGTCAAGTTCTTGTGCAACTGGAATCTGATTCACATAAGACTCTTTCAAGTGCTAAGCTTGCAGTGGTGGTGACAAAGACAGTGGATGCATGTATTGCTGATAATTGTGAGTAAAAATGCTTAGTCATTTTTCTACAATTGCAGTTTGCTTGAGTTCAACACGTGAGGGTTGAAATGGTAGCTTGAATATGGATTATCTGTTTTCTCATGGAGGTTATAACCTCCCACCACCAGAAGGTTCAAATCTTCTGACTTCAAGTCTAATAATAGATTCTACCATTTCTAAGCCTTTGTTTCACTTAAAGTGGCATTAAATTAAAAAGATTAGATGAGAAATCAAGGGACACTTTGGAGACATAAGGAATGGAAAACCCTTATCTATAGATTTTTTAAAAATTTTATAAAGAATTAGGGTATGCCTCTTTCTGGTAAATGTGAGGTCTGACTTACCTAGCCATTACTAGTGAGTGACAGAACCAGAGTTGAACCCATGCCTGCTTCTCATAAACACTGAGGAATGATAATCTATAAATTTGTAATAAGCAACTCTTGACATTCACAAATAACTGTGAAGTAAGTAGATTTTTAAAAAATCAGTTATTGAGGGCCTGCTATGCATAGGGCTCTACGTGAGCTCTAGAGATGCAAAAATGATAAAGATATAGTCCCTCAAGAAATTCACAACCTTATGAGCAGAAGTATAGTTTAAAATGGCAGACTTCTTGAATTCTGTCACATCTCAGCTTCAGGTATGCTTCACTGCATCATCAACATCAATAGAATCATGGCCAGTTAGTAGTGGATTTCATTGACAAGCAGGAATTAGTTACATAGGAAGGTCTTTACTGTCCAATCTAGATAATAAGAGGTGTGTAAGATGAGAATAAGCATATTTAACTTTTAGGAATGCTTCATATTACCAACATTATGCAGGGTAAATAAGAAGAAACCATTCTTTAAAAAACTTGCTTTAGTAAAATATCTTTAATATGAGAAGAGGGATTAATGAAGGCTATATAAGCCACTCTCTTATTACTCATTTATTTATATTTACATATATATGCACACATATATATTAGATGTTATATAGATATATAAGATCATTCTCCTAGGATAAGATCTGAAAAACAGTATATATGAGAAATAGTATATGTATAGTTATAAGTTTGTATTTACTCTTTTTCTTTTCTATTTTATACTAATAGCTACTTTTGGTGAAGTATTATCCAAGTACCACATTGTTTCAAAACTTCTGGCATTACTGCTTCATGAAAGTCTGGATTCAGCAGAAAAATTTAGCATCATTCTTACTCTTGGTCATTGCACAGAGACTTGTGGTAATACTGGATTTACTTAGTGTGCTTATTAAAATGGGTTGGAAATACACTTTTGGGGTTTTTTCCTCCTAGTCATATGAAAGGCTTAAAAGTAGTGCCTTTCTCCCATTCACTCAGGTCCCAAACCAGTCATTTTGCTCTTCATCCTTTTTAATCCATTGTATTTAGTTGGCCCCTAAGACCTGTGGTTCTGCGTCTGTTGACCCTTCTGTATATCCCTTGCTTCCCAGTTCCGCTGCTACTCTCCTAAGACCCCCAGCCCCTTCACATCTTTCACCAATGTTATTGCAATAGACTGTTCCCTGTTTTCCCTTCCATCTCCATTTTTCAGTACACGCTTCACACTGCTGCACAGATCTAATCGTATTCTTCTTTGCTGAAAACCTTCAAAAGTTCTATCATTTCTTTCTCTACCTGTCATTCTCACCTCTCTTTTTTCTCCTTGCTTCCATTTTCCTCCTTCTCTTCACTCTCCTGCCATTCTCCCTCTTCCATTCTCCTCCTTTCCAATTCTCTTCACTTTCCTCTTTCCCTCTCTCTTCCAATTTCTGCTCTTTCCCCTTCCACTTTTCCATTCTCTGTTTGCTCTCTTGTTTATTCTACTCTCTTCCTTTCCTCATTTTCAGTTCATTCTATTCTTTTACTTTCTTTTTTTTAAATATATTTTTATTGATTTTAGAGAGGAAGGGAGAGGGAGAAAGAGATAGAAACATCTGGCTGCCTCCTGCATGTTCCCTACTAGGGATAGAGCCTGCAACCCAGGCATGTGCCCTTGACTGGAATCGAACCTAGGACCTTTCAGTTCTCAGGCCAACGCTCTATCCACTGAGCAAAACCAGCTAGGGCTCTATTCTTTTTCTTCTATATAATTTAGGATTTAGTATACTTTTTAAATTTTTATTTTTTTAATTGAGGTTTAGTTGAGAACTATACTTTTAAAAAATGTTTTTATTGATTTTTAGAGAAAGAGGAAAGGAGAGAGATAGAAACATCGATGAGAGAGAAACATTATCAATTGGCTGCCTCCTGCACATCCCCTTCTGGGGATTGAGCCCACAACTCAGGCATGTGCCCTGACTGGTAATGGAACCATGATCTCTTGGTTCCTGGGTCGACGCTCAGCCACTGAGACACACCAAGTGGTTGGGAACTATACCTTTTAAAGAACCAAGTGAAGGCATTTGTTTACACTCATGAGATATGATGCTACTCTGTGGCAGTATTTCAGAGATCATCACTTATGATACTCAGTCATTTTATGTGAGTCAGTTATTTCCTAAATTGAATACACTTTTGAAACTTGCTTTTTCTCTAATTTGGACTATGTTCATAATTACCACAGGAAGAATGATGATCTCATGTAGATAGTTTATGGTAAAATAACTTTCTTCTACTTTACTTTTTTATATCTTTTCCAGAGGAAAATCAGTATGACCTTTTTAAAAACAATGGGCTTCCACTCATGATACAAGCCTTAACTGAATCTCAGAATGAGGAACTAAACAAAGCTGCCACTTTTGTGCTTTGCAACTGCAAAAAAATTAGTAAGTTTATCGTTACTTAAAAAACACACACAAAAAAACAAAGTTTATAAAGGGAAATTTATATCTGCTTTGATGAGCCAAGCCCCTTTAGCTCCCTGGCTCTTCTTCCATCTGAAGAGCAGAATATTTAATTTGGACATGACACCTGGAGTGTTTCGGCATACAAAAAACCTATATGGAAGAGAGCAACAGTACAGATAATTCACATATTTTATGTAGTGTGGACAAATATAGTTTGAGGGCTATAGGTAATGTGATTAAATCATAATACAAAGTATATTTACTTATTTATTTGAAAAATGTTTGAATGCCCATTATTAGCCAGGCACTGTGCTAGGCATTAGGAATATAGTGATAAGAAACAGTCTGTGCACTCACAGAACTTAGTTTAATTAGAGAAATAGATAATAATTGAATAGTCTCAAAAGTGAATGTATTATATAAATTAACCTAAGAGTTTAGAATGGATGGAGCACAGATCTTAGAGTCTGTAACAAAGGACTAAGACCTAGACAGTAAGGTAGAAAAGGCTTCAGGAGGAAATGATTCTTGAACTGAGATCTGAATGTATAGAGTTCATTAGATGAAAAGAAGGGAATTTTTATGGGCGAGGATCTCAGGGCTTAGCAACAGTGAAGCATAAGACCTTGTGATAGGAAGGAGCCTGGTGCGTTGAAGGAATTGATAGCCAGGGCCATGGCCATGAAAACGATTTTTGTCTTTGTGTAAGAAAAATTGTTGCTGCATCATGTGTAAAGAGAAAGGATTATAGGGAGGAACTACTTTATGAAAACTATTTTTATAAAAAACTATTTTAAAACCGGTATCCATACCTGAGGGTGTTTATGTGCCTGGGATAACATATTTTCATGCTATTCTCTTTCCTATAACTCTGAAGAATAAAGTCTGTTTTATGACTCTTAGGGTCCTGGACCTCTGCCAACTACTTGCTTTCCACTGATTTTCAATATCACGTGGGTGATTGAGGTAGTTTAGAAGGGCAGAATTTAGGGGAGGTGTGGGGTATGAAGTTGTCCTTATTTAAAGTGTTAAAATAACATTTCTGGTAATGGATAAACTCACTGTTTTTCCCCCATATTGCAAAGCTGAGAAATTATCTCTAAGCCTAAGAGAATGTCCTTTTGATGAAAATGAAGCAGAGCAATTAGAAGACATAAATATGAAAGAGAAGAATATTGGAGAGTACTGGAAGAAAGCAAAGGACATTCTTCACAGAATAGAACAGCTTGAAAGAGAAGAAAATGAGGTTGGCTTCTTTGTTTCAAAGAATATAGAACTTTTTAAAAGTATTTTTGAACAATATAGGTTAGAAGGTAAAAGATTTTTCTTGCCAAGCTATTCTTTAAAAAAGTCCTGGTGCACAGGATGTCGCCCACCCAACTGAGCCACACTGGCCAGGGCTAGTTGCTACTCATGTTTAAGAGTCAGATGCTAAAAGTCTCCTTGGAAAATTTGTTGACTGTGGATTCTCATAGGATTAAGTGGGTCATTTGGAGAAACTCCAATGTCTAATCTCCTGCCTAGAGATTGTCAACCAACCAGTGCTCTGGAATAAAAATGGGGGACGACACCTTGCGTCTTAGAATTCAGTACGTAAATAGTTGCTTATTCTGTTTCTTTTTTTTTTAAAATATATTTTATTGATTTTTTACAGAGAGGAAGGGAGAGGGATAGAGAGCTAGAAACATCAATGAGAGAGAAACATCGACCAGCTGCCCCCCGCACACCCCCCACTGGGGACGTGCCCACAACCAAGGTACATGCCCTTTTACCGGAATCGAACCTGGGACCCTTGAGTCCACAGGCTGACGCTCTATCCACTGAGCCAAACCGGCTAGGGTTTATTCTGTTTCTTGAATAGTATTCTGCCTTCAGCTTTGCTTGGAGTCTTCCAGTGTGGAGACTGTTTTGTCTCCTCCAGTGATTATATTCCCAGCCGTGGTGTTAATCAACTACCTGCTAAGTGTATGTTGAGAGCTTGGTAGCATATGTTAGGTAGTTTCTTGACTTTTCCCATTGTAAGCTTTGCATTCAGGTTTATCAAGTCTGCTAAATAGGTTATCATTCACCTATTTGCTATTCAGTTTCCAAAATGTTGTTGCTTTTATTTCTTCTTTCATTTCTCCTGTCCTTGTGGGGTTTTGCCTTTTTTTAAAAAACTGCTATCCTAATTGGTGTTTTAGAAGGACCAAAAATAACCCTAGCTGGTTTGGTCCAGTGGATAGAGTGTTGGCCTGTGGACTGAAGAGTCCCGGGTTCGATGTGCCCAGGTTGTGGGCTCAATCCCCAGTAGGGGGTGTGCAGGAGGCAGGAAATCAATGATTCTCTCTCATCATTGATGTTTCTATCTCTCCCTCTCTCTTCCTCTCTGAAATCAATAAAAATGTATGTATGTATGTATGTATTTATTTATTTATTTTAAATCCTCACCTGAGGATATTTTTCCATTGATTTTTAGAGAGCGGTAGAGAGAAGGAAAGACAGACAGAGATATCGATGTGAGAGAAACACATTGATAGGTTGCCTCCTACACGAGCCCTAATCAGGGCTCAGGCCAGGGAGTGAGCCTGCAACCGAGGTTGACAATCTCTGGAATCAAACCCTGGGACCCTTTGGTCTGCCGACACTCTATCCACTGAGACAAAACGGCTAGGGCAATAAAAATATATCTTAAAAAAAAAAATAGAAGGACCAAAAATACATATGGGTGTTAACTTCATCATCTTTACCTGGAAGGCCTCTTTATTCTTTTTTTTTTTTTTTTTTTTTTTTACAATTTCAGAGCATTCCATTGAGGAATATGCTAGCTTCAACTTTTAGCTATTACAAACAGTGCTGCAGTTAATAACATCAACATTTTGTACATGTAAAGTGTTTATAGCTATGCATAATTTTTATTATGAAAGATACTGTCAAACTGTTTCTCCATAGAGGTTGTACCAACTTATACTCCCACCTGTAATGTACGAGTGTTTCTCTATACCCTTTTGATCTCTTTCATGTTTATCTTATTCTAAGTAGGAGCACTTTTTCATATGTTTAAGAGCAATTTATATTTTCTTTCCTGTGAAATGTTCATTTTTTTGCCTATTTTTCTACACTGTTGTTGATCTTTTTCATATTTCACTGTAGTAGCTTTTTGTAAACATTAGTAGAAAAACTATACTGTAGTTTAAAATATATACATATTCTGTCTAGGTGTTTTGATTATCATTGGGTTTTGCTTCTGGCCCCTTTTTCCTCTGAGTTTCTCCTAACCTCCATCCCTTACATTATTCTTTTTTTTTTTTTAATATATTTTATTGATTTTTTTTACAGAGAGGAAGGGAGAGAGATAGAGAGTTAGAAACATCGATGAGAGAGAAACATCGATCAGCTGCCTCCTGCACATCTCCTACTGGGGATGTGCCCGCAACCCAGGTACATGCCCTTGACCGGAATCGAACCTGGGACCCTTCAGTCTGAAAGCCGACGCTCTATCCACTGAGCCAAACCGGTTTTGGCCCTTACATTATTCTTATTCTCTAGCACAGTGGTTCTCAACTTTGGCTGCACATTAGAATCACCTGGGAATCTTTTTAAAATCCTGATTTCTGGGCTTCATCCTCCGGAAATTCTGTTTCTTTGTTATGGGGTGAGGCCACAACATTAGTAACAAAGAAACAGAATTTCTGGAGGATGAGGCCCGGAAATCAGGATTTTAAAAAGATTACCAGGTGATTCTAATGTGCAGCCAAGGTTGAGAACCACTGCTCTAGCAGAACTTTAAAAAAAATTTATGTGGTAAACTATATTAGTTTTTTTCTTTTATGATTTATTGGTTTTGTGTAATAGTTGGACAGGTCTTCCTCCCCTTGAGAATATTAAAATGTCATGTTTTCTTTTAGAACGTACATCATTTCATTTTTATACATAAATATTTAGTTCATTTTTTGTGTGTAAATTATGAGAAATGGACCCAATTTATTTTTCCTCAGATGGCTACCCAGTTGTTTCTAAATAATTTATTGAATAAACTTCCTTTTATTTCTAATATAAACTGCCCCTTTTATCATGTATATTCTATTCTTTTATCATGTATATTTATAATGTATAAATTTTTCCTGCATTATTAAAAGGGTATAAATTGGATTATAAAGCAAATGGGTTACTTTGAAATTATTTGCTTGTCATTTTTACATTTTAGGAAAAAACACAAAGAGAAAAAGATAATGTTTCATCTATGAACATAAATATTCAAAATACATTGAAACACCTCCATACAAATAGTATTGGTGGAGGTCCCAAAGCAGAAGATAAGGATACAAGCCAGTCTAGAAAGCTTCAAAGTTACAAATCTCATGGATTTATGTCTAAAGCATGTACAAAAGATGACCAAATGAAGACCCTGTTAAAGAGTGCAAATCCAGTTAATGCTTGTTACAGGGAGAGTGGGCAAAGTAAGACTTTATATAAAGCCAACCCAAGCTGCAATCAAAACTTACAGGAAAGAACTTTTGAAAAAAAAGATTCTGTTTCTCAATCAAGGTACGTCTAATAATTGTTTCTAACTTTTAGAAAATTCAGCAAATATTTTTTGTTCAGTACCATGTGCCACACTATATAAGCACTGGGATATGGAAATGATAAAACAATGTCTGGGGAGCAGCCTAAAGTAGGAAATGTTGGGAAAGCAGTTTTGGACGAGGAAGTATGGGCCAGTTCATCTAGGGCCTTGCATGGTACACTCAGGATGTTCGGTTTTAACTCATAGGGTGTAGAGAGCCATTGACAATTTTAAATTACATGGCATGATCAGATTTGAATTTTAGAAAGGATACTCAAAAAACTGAAAGTGAAACCCTGCAGTAACAATGCATGCACTGGTAATCCATCAGCAATGTAGCAAAATCCAGTTTGTAAGTTTAGTTTGATAAAGGGAATAGGGTGTGATGAAAATCTGCATTAGGCTTGCCTTTTCGTTTGTTCCCTACACCTCACTTCTGCTACATGTCCTTTCTCCCTCACAGGTATCCTGTAGGGCTGGCCCTGAGATTGTAGCTTTCTTCTTAAACCCTTTCTTGTGTTCTGCTCTTCTGATGGTTACTGTGCTAGAAGGAAAACTTAAGAGGATGCTCCTATGTTTGGAGAAGGTTGCAGGGTAAACTAAGTATTAGAAAGATGGACTATATAATTATCATCCCTTTTTTTTCTTCTCAAAACCATTCTTAATGTTAATTTTAATTGATTTCTCAGGGATGTGGAATTGGGAAGCCGTGAGATGCGTTCTTGGGCCAGCCTTTGCACTTTGGCCCTCTCAGTTCTTTCTCTTTTTTTGTCCTCATTTCTTCCTGTATTCCTCTTTTACAACTTTTTGTCCCATATTTCTGTTGGCATCAGTGGTATTGCCCTCTGGAGTCTTATTTCAGCTCCACTCTTAGAAACAAGGTTACAGCCATCTCAGATCTTACTTGGGCAGAATTTGGTAGATTTTGGTTGATCCCATCTCCAGTTCCTTCTACCTGCCAAACACTCAGAATGCTTACAGAAACATTTGTACACACCCCAAACAGTATGTTTACTTTTAGTAATCTGGTATCTATTTTCTTTCAGCAACCGTGTTTTTAAACATCCAAATCCCATTGTCAAAAATAGAAAGCAGCAGTTACCAGTAACAGGTATGATTAAAAATTTTTCTTCTTTGATTTTTCAAGAAAACACATATTTAGGTGACTAATGTAGCCAAAAATGTACATCAGTATATCTGCCCTCTAACGTAACACCTCTGACTCTCTTTCTGGTATAAATGCTCAGTCACCTTTTATTGACATCCAGAACTTTTTTGTTTATTCATTGGATGACTGGATGTTTCCAATTAGCCCATAAACTGGGCTAATGTTTATGGAAATCTCTTGATAATTAATAAATCTTATAAAAATGTCAGGTTCTTTTTAGTATTCAAAAAAATCTTGCATTTTGCAATTTTTTTTAGATCCATTTACATTATGTTCAGATATAATAAATAAAGAAGTCATCAATTTCCTATCCGCTGACAATTGTCCCAAAATATTCAAGTATAGATGCTCAGGTAAATATTTTTTAATTAGTTATTTCATAATTAAAGTTTTATCTGATAATAAGTAGAATTTGTAATAGGTTCTGCCTGTGTGATTTAATTTCCTTTGGAAAAATAACCATTTGTAGTATCATTAAATATTCAAAATATTGCCTTCTATCTGTATCATCCTTTGCTCCCAGTATTTGTTTATATGAATCAATGTAGCTATTTTTTTTATTACTTTATTATTCTCTTTTTGTCAGAAGTAATACTTCTATAAGTTTTACTTGTGACAAAGTAAACTTTAAGTTCAACTATAAGTTTAACTTTACTGAATAAGTTAAACATGTTTTATATATGCTTATAATAAATATTTAAGTGTTTCTAGTGTTCCATGCCTCATCATTTTTTTCTGTAGGGCTATTTAAAAATTGTTTCAATTAGTTTATATTTAATATTATGTTGTATTAGTTTCAGGTGTAAAAATCTAGTGGTTACATAATCTAAAATCTAGTGGTTACATAATCATTTACTTTACAAATTAATTCCCCTGATATTTCAAGTACCCACCTGGCACCATACATAATTATTTCTGCAGGGCACTTGTAAATGTTCCATAGTGCTTATTCCATCCCTTCTCCTTCTCTTTCATACCCCATCTCTTTACTCTTATTCTGGCACTGTGCACTCTATGGAGAAAATTGAGGCTATTGCACATTAGGTTCAAAATATTACTATTCTTTGGTCTTGTGTGTAGAGTTTAATTTTATTACTCTAAAACTGATTTCTAGCTATAATTTGAATCCCATCTCTTTTTTTCTTCCCATTTTAATATTTGTGAATTCTTTTTCTTTATTTCCTTTCTATCCATTAACTCCTTTTGTCCCACCTTAAACTATATTACTTTCTCCTCATCTTAAAAATCCAATAGTGTGATTTGCTATTGCTTCAAATATTCATCTACTCTTCTGTCACCATTTATTACCAGGTTCATCTCTTGCTCCCTTCTCTCTCAGTATATTCATTCCCGTTTTAACTCCCTGCAATCTGGCTTTTTTTAATTGCCTTTCTACTAAACATTAATGTTAAAGGGTACCTGAAGCCACATCCCCCTCATTCCCAATCCAGTGACTTTTACAAAAAATTCCTAGTATCTCTACACCGTTGATAACCATTCCTTGAAATACTCTTCTGTCATTAATTTAATGCCACAGTTCCCAAACTATTCACCCAGGCTTCCTAGGGCTCTGCAGTGAACTCACAAGGGCACTACACAGTATTTTAAATTTTATAAGTGGAGCACTAAATAGTCAATATTTTTTGGATACTACATGAACTACTAGCTCAAAGTAGTTCAGATTTTCAACATTAGATTACACTACATTCCTTTTGATGATCCATGTTTTTGTGGAGCTAAGCTTTCAGTGATAGTTGTGATAAAAATCAAACACCACATGAAAATCAATGTGGAACAGGAAATAAATTTGGCGGTGTCTAGTCTGATTCCAGGGTTTGAGAAGTTATTCTATACCCAAAAGGTACACACATCTCATTAGGAAGTAATTCTAATTAATAAGAATGAAATACAAATATATTTTTTTTCAATTTAGGTGTCTTTTTTTTCAAGTAGCTACTAAATTGTTAGAACATAAGTACTTATTAAGTTGTTTTGAACCTAACAGGATGGTTAGCATTTCTTTGGCCTAGGGGTGCCGTAAAAAAATCACCAAGATCTTAAGGGTGCCATGAAGCAAGAAAGTTTGGGACCTCTGGTCAAAAGTATTCCAGTTAACAGAGTGGACACTCTATAACTGTTAACTTCCTTTCATCCCTTAGTTTGTTTGCGATGGTTCTTTCCTAGTTCCTTTCTTCTCTCAGTGATGATTCATTCATTGATTTCACAGACACTTGGGGAGTGCATATTCTATGGCAGGCGGAATCAAGATGCATAGAACTCATTCCTCACCTCAAGAAGTTTATAGTCTAAAACAATTCCATTTAATCACCTTTAGTGCTTTATCGTTATCTTTCTGCCAAATTTCTACAAGTATTCCCCCTAAGACAGTGATGGCGAACCTATGACACCCGTGTCAGAGGTGACACTTGAACTCATTTTTTTGGTTGATTTTTATTTGTTAAATGGCATTTAAATATATAAAATAAATATCAAAAATATAAGTCTTTGTTTTACTATGGTTGCAAATATCAAAAAATTTTACATGTGACACGGCACCAGAGTTAAGTTAGGGTTTTTCAAAATGCTGACACGCCGAGCTCAAAAGGTTCGCCATCACTGCCCTAAGACATAGTTTATAGCACTTACTCAACTCTGTTGCAACATTTACTTTTGTGGCATCAACCATCATTTTACTGATGATTTTCAAATCTGTATCTCTGCACTTGGCTTCTTCCTTGGGTTATAACCTCATTCTTCCATTTCCAGCTGTACCCAGGATAGTCTCATGTCAATATCTTGCTTTTATTTCAAGCTTAATATATTAAAATCACAGCATCTTTCTTCCTCTTAAGTTGCCCTTTGTTCATCCACTCCATTTCTATTGCTGCTGTTCTTCTGGCCTCCCAGATGTCAAACTTTAAATCGTCTATAAATATGTTTTCTCCTTACATCCCTTATTTCTAGTTGTTCAGATTTGGTTCTGTTTTTCTTTCCCACATAGGCTCTTTTTGCTTCATGCCTAAATCACTCCCACAACTTTCTAGGAGTCTTCACTTGCAAGTCTCACCAACCCCCAACTATAATGTACACATTGCTGTTAACTTCTCTTCCTAATATGTGCTTTTTGTCATGTCACCATGCTAAAGAACCCTCAGTGCTTCTCTGTAACTCACTGAATCAAATTCTCTGCTTGGCTTTCAAAATTTTGTGAAATTTTGTCCTGCTTACACTTCTTAAATTTTACCGCACATTTATTCTCTTCAAGTCTGCCAGAAATGTGTCATGCTAGGCCAAACTTTGTCAGTCAATCAACCACCAAATTATTTGAGGTATCCTAAACTTCTCCCTAACCCCAACAGCTCATTAGTCACCAATTTTACCTCAGAAATTTCTACATTCTTACTGCAAATGCTGTTTCAGAATCCCCTCATTTATTTTCTGCAATGATGAAGTAACCCCACAACGATCCTCTTACCTTCAACTGAGATTTCTATAAGACAAATGAAATCATGTCATTTCCCTGCTTAATAAATATCCTTTAGTGCCTCCCCACTGACTAAGATATTTAAAAATCCTCAGCATGGCTTTTAAGACACTTCTTCGCTTTACCCTTTCAACCTTCACCAACCTCAACTTTTCTCCCACACTTCTCTCATACTTTATACTATAGCCACACCAAAGTACCTCTGATTTTCTGAACATACTATGCTTTTTCATTCTTCTGTGCTTTTGCACATGTTCATTGTGCTAGAAATGTCCTCATCCCAGCCAACTTTTCTGCCTGGATAATTTCTCCTTGTCCCTTCCAAATGCGCCGCTAATACCATTAAGTGACAGGCAGATGGAGAACTATAATAAATAGATGTGGCTAACCTTACCTGAACCTACTGATCAACCTTAACACTAAAAACAGATAAACTTTATGTGCCTCTTAATATGATGCAGTAAGAAGTATACAGTGTTACCTGTGAGGAATTCTAAAATCAATTGAATCTGAATCTGATCAATCCTTTAGATCTAATTACTAATTTGTTGGGTACACAGGAACATTTTAAAGGCTGCAACTAGGATAAAATCAGCAAAACCCAGGTTTTGGGAAACTCCATAGTTCAAATTATCCAGTATCTACAACAAGTAAATGATAAGGAGGAAGAGAGGAGACTTGATAGATTAAAATAAACTGAATGTAATGATAGACTTTGTTTGGATCATGATTCAAAGAAACCAACCATAAAAAGAAAGTTTTGAAATAATGGGGAAATTTAAACACTAGGTATTTAATTATATTAAGCATATTTTTCTTAGGTGTGATAATGTTTTTTTTAAGTCCTTATCTGTTAGGGATGTATACAAAGTATTTATAGATGAAATAATTCTTTAATGCAAATTCCAGGCTTCATGATCTAGTGCAGCAGTCGCCAATCGGTGGTCTGTGGACCACTGGTGGTCTGTGAGGTCCAAAAGATTGGCGACCGCTGATCTAGTTTGTACATTGGGGACAGGCAGACAGAATACATGGAGTGTAGATAAAATATGATTGACCATTAGTTAATAATTATTGAAGCTGGATGATGGATACATAAAGGTTCATTATGCTTTTTCCTTTCCTCTTGTGTGTTTGAAATTTTCTATAATGAGACATTTAAAAAATACGACGGGACATGAGTTATTTCTTTTACATATCTTTCCTAACAGTGACTCCTGCTTAGAACCAGACCAATCACCATAACTCTGTTCACACCTCTATCATAACACTTATTTCACTATATTGTGTTCGTTATGTTTCCATCTCTAACAAGACTTTGAACTTTCGACACATTTATAATTAAATTCCTGATTTGACTTCAGTTACTATCATAAAGATATTTGCTTTCATATATTTGTTATTAGACATTTTATAACATTTATACATCACTTTAATTTGTTTTCTTTTAGGTTGCATAGCAGTAGGAAAATCCCTGAATAGCCGAAATTTTAGCAAGCTCTTGCACTCATGTCCATACCAATGTGATCGTCACAAAGTCATTGTGGAAGCTGAAGACAGATATAAAAGTGAACTAAGGAAATCACTTATCTATAACAAAAGTAATTAATTCAGTAGCTTTAAAACTGTAATTATGACTATACCTTCTGAACTATGACCTAGAACATATATTAAAGCTTGAGGGTAAAATAATGTTGAAAAGAAAATCTGTCTCTGAGCAACCAGTGATTTATGATGTATCTAGTAAGCATACTTAGTTTTTGGTGGTTTAAAAATTTTTCCTAATTCACCTAAGGATTCCTATTAGAAAGGGAAAATAAGTGAAATATCATACTAATGGAATTGATGTGCTGTTACTCAAATTGATATACTAAGTATGCTAAATGTTTTCCTTATTTTTCAGAAATTCTGCTGACCCCACGTAAAAGACAACTACTCAGTAATGAACATACTACCTCTGGAGGAATAAGTGAATATATTTAATTTAAAACATTTTTATTGATTGATTTGAGAGAGAGGAAGGGAGGAAAGAAAAAGAGAGAAACATCAACTTACTGTCCCACTTATTTTACAAAGTAAAATCATTTGCAGAGCCTCATGAAATGTACATAATTATGGCTACACATTGATTATACAGAGGGATCCTAAATACTGTTTTGTGACACTCAATTCATACATACATCTTTTTTTGTGGGTTAGAATTGCTTTAGCTAAAAACATCTTCTATAATATTAAAAGGGTAATATGCTAATTAGACCAGACATCATTCCAGACGAAGCTGGGGCGGGAGGGAAGCCGCCCGGTCCCAGGTGCCTGCCGGCAGCTGGAGTAAAGCCCGGGTCCTGGGTGCCTGCTGGCAGCTGGAGGGAAGCCTGGGTCCCGGGTGCCAGAGGGAAGGCAGGGCTGGCAGCTGGGGGGAAGGAAGGCCTACTCTTGCACAAATTTTTGTGCATTGGGCCTCTAGTAGTTAATAATTTGGCCTGCTTTTTTAGAATGTAGAAAGGCATCTTGAGGAGGTAGTGATTAGATTGGTCTCATATCTCTTTCACAAGCAGGCCAGGAAAATTTGATATATTGTCATTCCTACTTGATAAATTTCTCTTTTGTGTTAGCAACAGTTATCACCACTCAGTCATCACCATACAGAGGGATCCTAAATACTGTTTTGTGACATTCAATTCATACATACATACATTTTTTGTGTGGGTTAGAATTGCTTTAGCTAAAAACAAATCTATAGTACTAAAAGGGTAATATGCTAATTAGACCGGAAGTCCTTCAGACGAAGCTGAGGCTGGAGGGAAGCCGTGTAAGATCAGTTGGTTATAGGTTACACTTAAATTTGAGATGATTCTTCTGAGAAGGGACCATTGCAGCATCTAAGCATTTAAAGAGCCTCGGTGCCCTGGCCGATTTCTCCATTGGTTAAAGCATTATCCCAACACACCAAGGTGTGGGTTTGATCTCTAGTCAGGGTGCATATAAGATGCAGCCAATGAATGCATAAATAAGTCAAACCATAAATTGATCTCTCTCTCTCTCTCTCTCCCTCTCTTTAAAAATCAATTTTTAAAAAATTTAAAGAGCCTCAGGGACAAGGCTCTTTTTTGAGATGGATTGGTATCTTAAAGGGATTTGAACAATAAGTCTAAAACTGGGCCTTCTTGCCTGTTTTCCTGCTCTTTCCTACTGCCCAATCAATATCAAGAGGAACAGTGAAGAAGCCACAGAGGGGAGCCTTGTGCTGTACAGAACTGCTGCTTCCTTCTAGACTGCCTACTACTCGGCTGCACTAACCTTTGGGGAATTGGGCACAGATGTTAAGTGTAGGAGTCAATGAGGTGGCAGCTGCAATGGAAAAGTGGGGATTAGCTTTACATGAACAATTCTGTACCCTAATCTCCTGAATGTTATAATAACCCATCTAATACTGATTATAATGAGTTGAAATCATTTAGCAAGTGAAACAAATCATTTCTTAGATAACCTCAGTTTTCCAGTCAACCCAAAAGTAAGGAGTAATTTCATTGATAAGCTTTAAAACAGTTTTTACCAATAACTTCTTTCTTTCAACAAATATTTATTGATCACCTCTTATGTGTCAGACACTGTTTTAGGCCCTGGGGATACAATGGTGAGCAAAACAGACAAAAATTCTGTCTTTATGGAGCTTGCATTCTAAGTAAGATCATTAAGTTATACTCAGATGTTATTTTCATTTATTTATCAGCCTTCTGCTGGTAAGACTTTCTCTTCTCTTTTAAAAGATCTGAACTGTGGCTCCTGTCCTAGGAGAGGTGGACAAATAGCTAATAGTCTTGACATGCAAGGACAAGATTTTCTAAGGGTTTTCCACGTCCTACTAAAGTAAATAGCAGCCTTAAGTGAATATACCAAAAAAAAACCCTCCTCATTAGCATCTACCTACAATGATAACATGAATTAGCAGTGAATGAAAAAGCTAAAAAGAACTGTTTCCTAATCATCACCAGAAGATATTTGTGTTTACAGATACCAACTGTGCATTCTTTCTGTTGTAGAAAGTATTTCTAAAAATCAGTTAAATTTTTCCTTCCCCCTTTTGTAGCCGTTTTTTAAAAAGTTTTAACAAGCTGAGCATCCATATAAGTAGTGAATTTTTAAAGCAAATTTCAAGACCTTTATTCTTTAAAAATATTAAGACTGAATTAAAATAACAAGTGTTGATGTTGATATTCTTTTTTATTCTATGAAGTTATGATGCCCTTTGGGAAGACTGTATCTATAAGATAGGTAAGCTGTTTATTAACTGTCCTCACAGGAATATCAAGAGAATTAACAGTCAAATGTTTGTAAACTTTTGTGTTTCTTTATTGAAAAATGTTGCAAGTATTATTACAATAGGATAAAATTATTGAAGTCACAGTGATAACATCTAGCTTAATAGAAGGCACTCAGCTTCTAAAAATTGAAATGGATTTTTATTTGATAAGTAGCCCAGGCATGAAGTTTTCTCACTATATAGTTCTTATCTTTAGAATAAGTTACGTACTTATTTGGTTCTCAAGAAGATTTTTATTTTTCCAGCAGGTACTAATATGTACTCCAATTCTCATTGCAGAAGAAAGAAAAATTCGTAAAAACTTTACTGAAGAAGAAGTGAATTACATTTTCAGTGGAGTTAAGAAAATGGGAAATCACTGGAATGCAATTTTGTGGTCTTTCCCCTTTCAACAAGGACGGAAGTCTGTTGACCTTGCTCAGAAATACCACAAGCTGACCAAACGCCCCAAGTTTGTGGCTCCTTAGTTGGAAGAAGACTTGTCAGTTTCTATTGTGAACTCATTTTATTTTTATTTTCCTATTGTGAACTCTTAAAATACAGTGCCTTGAAGATACAAAATTTAAAATATTCTTCTAAACTCTCATGAGACAAGGAATGTGGAAACAGGAATACTATTTACATTAAATTCTTTTTGTGATGTGATGAGCTACAGCAAAATATTAAAATAGTTTAGCCTGGCTGGTGTGGCTCAGTGGTTGAGTGTCAACCCATGAACCAAGAGGTCCCCTGTTAGATTCCTGGTTGGGTTGCAGGCTCCGATTGTGGACTCAATTCCCAGTAGGCGGCGTGCAGGAGGCAGCTGATCAATGTTCTATCTCTCTATCCCTCTCTAAGCCAATAAAAACATTTTTGAAAAATTGTTTATAAAATAAATACATTTTCAAGGTATGGATTAGTAAGACAAAATTCCTTCATTAGGTCAAACATTTGTTTAAGAATATGCTTTTATTTTTCCTTAAGCTCAAAGAACATAGGTCAGAGAAAAAAGCAGCCTTTACACTTTGAAATTATATTGTAATGAACACTGTGTGAACATTTGGATTTTAGTATTCTTACCCAGTGACAATTCCTCTCCAGAAAGATAGAATAATTTCCCAAGCTGCTCAGGTGAGGTTCCCACACACTAAATCAATGTTTGATATTTTGTTAATTGAAATGTTTCTTTGCCCTTGCTGGGTAGCTCAGTTGGTTAGAGTATCATCCCTATGGCATAGGTCAAGGCTGCAGGTTCAATCACAGATCAGGACATATACAGGGGTCAACCACTGAATGCATAAAGAAGTGGAGCAACAAAAAGTAATGTATGTGTGTGTGTGTCTCCCTCCCCCCTCTCTCAAATCAACTTAGAAATTTTAAGTTTCTAAAGGCTAATTGTGAAGTTGCTTTGAATACTTTAAAATTCTATGGTCAGGTTCACTACTTTTTGGTGTAGGTATATTTACTTTTGCTTTTTAAAAATTCAGAAGAGCTTTTTATAGTTACATCTCAATTTTCTTAACTCTTTTTTGTATTCCATCATGATCCCCAAAGATGTTGTTGCAGACTCCATTATACTTAAAATGTTGCTGTGGCAAAGGGATCAAGTATAAGGGCCTGAAAGCTCCGCTGTGCTTCTGTACCCGTTGGAGCACTGCTCCATACCATTGTAGTCGGTTCTTCAGCCCCAAAGGGCATTTCCGTGTAAGCATGAGTTCTTTGACCTTTTCTTTTTTTTTAATTTATTTATTTTTTTTAATTAAATCTTTATTGTTCAGGTTACATTTGTTCCTCTTCCCCCCCCCCCCCCAAATCCCCCCCCCCCCCCCCCACTGGGCCTGGGGCTTTCAACAAAGGAATTTTGGAGACACGACCTTTCAGACCACGGCGTGTCTAAGGGACTGCAGGGTCCCGCCATCCACTGCAGACTCTGAGGCACGTCTATTTTCTCCTCTCACTGGTCTCACTGGATCCATCAGCCACGACCAAGGTCCCTGGCCACTTATCACTCTAGTCAAGGCTAGAGAATAAGTGTCACCCCACCCTGCTGGCAGGACAAGAGGGAGAAGGGTGTGGCTGTGGTGAGGGTGTGGCCAAGTGCTCTTCCCACACAGTCAGATCCTCTGCTGAGCAGGATGACTCTGCATCCGGATATGCCCACCAGGCCTCGGAGTTCCTGGAGAGGGGCCCGGGGAGGGGGCCCGGGGAGGGGTTCCAGGTCCAGCCTGCCTGTGGCCATGGAGGGGATGGCCAGAGTACCTTGACCTTGCGTCAGAGCCACACAGCTGACAGAGTGGAAGACCCAGGGCCTGACTTGTGCTTCTCCCTCAGCCCCCACCCTGAAGATCATCACAAGAACCCTGCACCCTCCGTCCTCCCTGCCAGTGACCACTGGGCCCAGCATGACCAGCCAGGAGACGCCTGATGCCAACCAACACCCTCGGTAAGGGGCGCACATCCCAGGACTTTGACACCTGGTGGATTCTCCTCTAGATGGGGGTGCGGAGGCGGGGGTTGGAAGGCAGGAGTGCTGATGATGAGGCTCACTGTGCATCACCGTCACCGTGTCCCCACAGGTCCCTGCTCAGCAGTGTCCACTTCCTGCTCCTCATATTCCTGAAGGTGCCCCTGTTTCTGAGCATGCTCAGTGCTGTCCTCTGGGTGAACAGGCCTCAGCGGGCAACTTGTGAGGAAACACAGTTTGGCTAAGACAACCTGCCACTGTCCCCGCCCATCCATGTCCTGTCCAGAGACACAGCCACTCGGGCTACAGAAGACAGAACCTCCACCCTGAACCTTACATCCCTTT